TCTTCAGTAACCTCTAAACCATTACATCTAATTCAATCAATGTTCATAAGAAGTATGTTAGTATCCATTCCCAATGAAGAGTACCAGACACTTATATCTGTAAAAACATCATAATCACCTTTCTCGCCGACATGTGTTCATTTACAAACGCTGTATAAGCCTATGATAATGATTAGCAATTGCTATCAAAACGCTTTAAATACTTCTTATTGACACTAAAGGTAGCATCTGTCGTCAGGAAAGCTAATATTGCTCAGTACTACTAAATTGGTTGAAATAATTGGTACAGTGAGATTGTAAAAAGTACGACACACATGTGCGTCTCTCGCTGAATAAGAGGTTCTTTCTATTGGCGAATATATGTGGCTGTCGCTGTGAGAAACTGCCAATTTCCTGCCCCATAAACGCGTCAATCGAGGTGAGGAGCTGATTAATTTGCCCCATATATATTTGGCTCTCGGCCTTAATGAGTTATGCTGTAATGCAAACATTAGAACAATTTGCACGCTTTTCTTGACTGAAGGTAAATGCTGATAAAACTAGGATTTTCTGGTTGGCATCAAAGGAACATTCCAGAATGAAATTATGCCCCGAGTGGAAATTAAATTTGGATCAAGATTCCTTCACACTGTTGGGTATTTATTAATTTTAGTTTAGAAATGAATGGTATGATCATGCCAAATGCCAAACCTTGATAATTTTTTGGTCCTCCAGACACCAACACCATGGACCAAACTTATTGATAGGAATTTACCAAAAAAATGGTTCAATAAAGATTTTAGAACTTAATCGTAATCATTTGAAAAAAAGAAATTATTTCAAACTTTAGAAATCCGTTTTATGTAGACTTGGTCTCATCCTGGTTGATTTTATAGAACAAATCAAACCACAAGCTGATTCAGATCTTCTCAGCCAAACAATCTGGCATAACTGTAATATCATGATTAATCTTCTACTCAGACTTGAACTCGAAAGGAATCCACATTATAAATGATCTTTTGGATGAAAACGGGTGTTTTCTAAATTTCATCGAATTTAAGAACAAATACGATAAATTAAAACTTCATTCTTTATTATGGTTTAATTCAAACGACAAAACCATATATCAAGTGATTTGGAAATTTAGAAATGAAAAATAAGGTTGAATTATCAATCTTCCCTCTAAATCTAATACATCTTTGCCAGACAACAAAGGGACTTATTGGAAACACTGTATCAAAAACCAACATATTAATAAGTGGGAACATGAGTTGCAATGTAACATCCCTATCAAAACATGGACAAAATATAACATGATACCTTTTCTGTGCACCACCCATTCAAACATTCAGTGGTTCCAGTACAAATTCCTACACCATATCCTACCAACTAATATCCGTTTACAAAGAATGGGCTGTACTAAATCAGATAGATGTGACTTTTGTTCCTACAAGGCAGACACATTGCAGCATTTATTTTGGGAATGTGATCTTGTACGGGCACTGTGGACCAAACTGGAAGGTTGGCTAAAACAAAACGCTCAAATAGTTGAGTTGAGTTGGGCTTTATGTCACATCAGCATTATTCCAGCCATATATATCATTTTAATAAAGAAAGGATTCTCATCGGTTTTCTAGAGAGTAACAATGACCCACTAAACATAATCATCTTGATTTTCAAAAAGACTATATTTGAGCATAAACAGGAACGATTTCCAACTTTCCAAACATTGATATACAAAGTCAGGGATTAACATATTATTACTAAATGTGCTGCTGCAATGTCAAATAGAGTCGATATGTTTTAGAAATTCTGGTCTTCTTGCCAATTATTGACAATCCCCATTTCGTACAATACTGTTCTAAGATATCTATCTTTTTCTGTAGGTTCACAACGCTGTCTCCAAATATAGCGACATCATCCGCAAACAGAAGAATTGACAGTGCATTTATAGCCTTATCAATAAAAGCGCCACTATAGTCGCTGTTTATGATGTCGTTAATTAGTTCATCAATGTACATAATAAATAGGACTGGAGACAAGATACAACCTTGTCGTACTCCAGTCACTGGGTTAAATATTTCAGTCATACTGTACTTCGTACATCTAACAGCTGCTTTTGCATGAGTATACATTGAACGTAAAACAGTGCTAAGTTTACCATGTATACCATTGTTGAGAAGTATATATAGGAGCTTGTTTCTGTGAAGGGTATCGAAAGCTTTTTTAAAATAAACAAAAATACAGTAACATTTTTCACGTTTTTTCCTTATGTACTTGTGGATAATCGAATTTAGAACAAATATTTGGTCAATAGTACTGTAGTCTTCTCTAAACCCTGCTTGCGACTCAGAAATGATATCCTGTGTTGAAGCCCAAAGTTTTATAAGTGTATCTAGAATACTTTGCTAAATATATCAAGTAGAGCTATACCCCTGTAGTTATTGGGATCCTCTCTATCCCCAGCTTTATATAACGGAACGATAAGACCAAGGTTCGAAGAATCTGGAATCTGTTGAAAATCTCTTTGAAAAGACGTTTATAAAAAGGTAATAATATCAAACAAGTTTCCTTAATGGCCTCCGTCGGAATACCATCAGCCCCGGGAGATTTACCATTTTTCAGATTCTAAACTGCATTCAAGATTTCATCATTTGAGATCTCGTCATCCAAGATATCGTCACAGTCTCTACATTGTTCACAATTAACAACATCATGGTTTTCAAGAAATGTTCGTACATGTATATCAAACTGTTTGCAATCTGTTTGAGGGTCAAAATCTATACGATCACCTACCAAAGCCCTGTACATCATGGGCGATTTGAACGGATACAACCCTCTATGGGGAAGTACATGTGTAAACGATAAAGGCAAGATTATTGAAGATTTTATTTCTGTGACTGAGTGAGTAAGTGAGTCATAAATGATAAATTAAGCACCTCTTTATATCTTGGTACAGGAACCTACTCTACACTTGATCCTGTCCCTCGCTGATTCAACGAATTTGAATGGTCCGTTCACGATGACCTTTTTGGGAGTTATCCCTTCCCAACTGTCCTAAAATCAACCTCACCGGATGATGATTGGTCTTTATGCGAAACATTATGTAATGAAAAATAAATACCTGAAATTTTTAAACTGTATCAGCTCCTTCAGAGTTGTTTTAAGCTCAGTTTCCAGGCAGAAAATGTAGAAAGAGTTGAGTTGAGTTGGGCTTTACGTCACATCGGCATTTTTCCAGCCATATAGTGACGAGAACAAGTTTGCATTAGTAAACATTGTAAGTACATACTCGGAATGAGTTTTATTTCAAAGACATATATTGATTACAATTCGCCGAAATCCTACAGCTCATAACTTGAACAATGTTAAGATTACTGGTGCCAAGGCACGACGTGCCTACAAACAAAACAAACGCCTATCTTGGAGAAACTATCTTTCCAAAATAATTTCTCGCAAGGCCATGTCTAAGGTATGGAACATGGTACTGCGACTAAGAGGCCAAGGTTCAAAATCTTCTGTTCACTTTCTTAAAGATAGTGATAACTTACTAAGTGCCAAAACTAAAACTCTTGCCAAACATCCATTCATGGCGTAATGCCAATGTAGTCCCCATTCCAAAACTTGAACGGGATCAAACATATCCATCGAATTACAGACCCATATCTCTAACCGGCTGTGTCTGTAAGACCATGGGAAGAATGGCAAATAATAAATTAATTTTGGATCTTGAAATTAATAACCTTATAACAAATGTTCAATGTGGTTTCAGAAAAATAGAAGTACCATCGATCATTTGGTAGGATTAGAATCCTTTGCTAAAAAAAGCTATTTTAACTAAACAATATGCATAAACGATATTCTTTGTTCTCGAGAAAGCATACCGTACCAGCTGGAAGCATGGCATTGTAAGAGATTTACATGACTTCGGTTTGAGGCGTCGTTTACCTCGTTTTTCTTCGACAGTGATGACATTGGTGAGGGGATGATGGATGAACTATTGACAACATGACAGGTTGAATTTTGTACGCTTGAATGAATTGCTAAAATCTACCACGACCTGGCTATAACGGACTGATAATCTATAAATCTTAATAGAGGGAACTGATATGAATGTCCAAGGAAACTGTCACTGTTGTTAAAAAATATATCGCATTTTGCAATTTATAAGAAAACTATACAAGTCAACTGAAAACAACACTCAATTATGTTCATTATGACCCAGTGGCAAAATTATATTTGAAACTAAGCAGTATTTAAAAAGTTGGGGATTAATGAGTTAAATTAATCAATGAAAAAGTAAATACAATATATACTAATTTATAGATGGATCCAAAGATGGTGGGACAGTGGCTTGTGCTACTGTCATTGGACCCAGTTCAATATCTTCAAGAATAACAGATAACAGCTCTATTTTGACAGCAGAAGCTGACGCCATATAAACAGCTCTTACATATATTAAAAACCATCCTAAACATAAACAATATATGTAATCTTTTCTGAGTCTTCCGTGCCTTCAGGCTAATAAAAACGTATCTGGTAAACATCGACTTTTAATTGAATTTTTTAAATTATATAATATCCTTGCAACTTGTCAATACGACATCGTCCTCTGTTGGTTACCCAGTATGCTGGAATCTCTGGAAACACAATGGCCGATTTGCTGCTAGAGCAGCATTCAACAAATCTGTGACACCACTTTTCATTCCGTACTCCGATTACAAAGCCGTTATTAGATCACACATCCGTGATCTACCCAAGTAGGTGTCAATAAATACAGACACAGACAGTCATCAGGTCATAAATCATGTTCAGCATAAACATGTTCAAATACTTGAAATGTTATTGTTTTTTGGTAGATTACAATTACTATTTCTATTTATAGTCCATAAGAACTATGGCAATGTGCTGTTTGATTGGCATTTACTTTCTTATGGCAATGTAGTACGAAACAGGAAAAGTGTAATATTCTTCAGAAGTAAAGGACAGAAATGTATCATAAAAATAATTAAACTCGATACCTTCCATCCTTTATTCAACACGAGGTCGATCCCTGCAGTTCCATATTTGCTCCTAGTGTCAGATGGATATGTCCCTTTACCGCAGCTGGAATCTGAAGGACGTCTTTGGCTAGGAAATGAAGGATGAAACTTCGATCCAAATAGTGACTGTATGGTAGACTTGATCTCTTCTGTACTGGAAGTTTTAAGGGGAAAGATACGATATAATTAGTGACTATGTACTTAGCTTTTCTGGTACACATTAACACAAGACTATAAAAATTACATACATGTAGACAGACTACTACATATCACAAATTCATTAGGTAATGTTTAGGCCTATTGAAGTGTGCTATCATTAGGTAGGAAATTGGGCGCCTGAGATGAAATATGTTTTTAAACAAATTTTGGCATTTGTGAAGAGCAACCTCCTCGTGGGGAGTGCTGGGTAACGCTAATAGCTCTTCCTCGTGTTAACCCGGGATAGAATGTGTCCAGAGCACCCAATTGCTGGTCGTAAGAGGCGAGCGAATGGGGTAACCTATTTGCCGTGGGTTGTGCCCGTGTCAGTGGAAAAAGGGATTCTGGAGGTCAAGGACACTGGTTCCAGGAACAGCGTTCCTTTGCCCAACACAACAGTTTGACCCTGACTTCATCTAGACGGGTGGTGGAATGGGGCCTGTTCTATTAATCGGCTGACCATGCTAAGCCCTTAACGAGTATATTCTGCTACACAATTTTTACAAACTATTTACATTTTTGTCAGTTGTCTTAGCTACATGATAATATATTTGCATTTCGATTGGATAACTCCAATTTAGTAATTTGCCCAGAGTCCTGTGTCTAGAAGGGAGTGGCTCATGGGCCAATCCGGTGGTATATACCTATTTTTATTATTCTGCTTGGGTATATCATCCGGGTACCCTTGGTCCTGCAAGTTGGAAATCCACTTGCGATCAGCATTGACTTTATAATATTTCATGGTGGGTGGGTACTCAGATAACGAATCAAAATATACACAGCATGGATTACCAAATTAAAAACCCGAAACGTCCACTCGACAATGATGACGAGAAACAACCCTCATAATCCATTGATTACTGGCCATGTTTACTGATTGTTGATACTCTTAAGAACTTAAGACTCTATTGAAGCTAAAATATTTGCAATATCAAAATGTGTCCACGCCATAGCTGGAGAAATTCAGGATCTCTGTTGCACCAATGTAATAGAAAACACCAAGCAACCACGCTGCTATCAACAGACATTTTGTTGCGGTTATGGTCTCTCCATACAGAAGAATGAATACCAGTAAAGGTAAATAGTACGAGACCGAGATCTGTTTGCAGATATGACGGAAATTGAAATTGTATCTGAGATGAAGAATCAAGGAATCACACATGTGAAAATATTTACAACCAGGAATATAATGAAACTGTGCAAACTAAAACGTATCTCTTTTCTTTTTCTGCGCCGAAATCTCCTACATCAGTCAAGACAGGTTACTGCAATGTAAATGTTGCCATGTACATGCCCAATCCTCTGCAGTGTTTCAAATGTCAGAAATACGGACATTGTCTGTTACATGTGCCCATTGTGGAGAAAAATAAACACAGAAGACTGTGACGGTCGTTTCCAAAAGTGCACCGACTGCCGCGGAAGTCATTCATCCTTTTCTAGGGACTATTCTATTGGGGGAAAAACAGATGAAGATCAACAGAATTGAATTCACCAGAAATGTAAGTTTTGCAGAAGCCTAAAATTTTGTACAGGTAATTGACTGCGCAGAAGCCTATGCCTCCATCGCCAGGACACCATCTGAAACCACCACAAAAGGAAATACTGTAACTACCTCGCACATTTCAGCCAAACAGACTTGACATGGGAAAGTACGGACTGTCATAAACATTTCTTTCATGAGCAATCCACTCAGACAGCGAATTCACTTTCTGATCAACAGAAACTCTCTTAGCAGCAATAATCTCCTGTTCCAAAACCTCAATGTCAACCTGAAAGAAATGAGCACACAACTTGAGCCACAAAAGGTCAGATAGAATATATGTTTCTGACAAGTTTGTCACTGGAGGACATGGATGTCTCTGATAACGACCATCCTAAGACACATAGCTTGTTGCCCTCAAAGAAAGTGTGGGGTAGATCCCTAGTCAACCCACGAAGAAGCTAGTCTATTCCACACTTATAGTACAGTGGAATTGAAGATGATTGAGGAACAATTTTAATGGGTTACAGCTATTAGTCCAATATGTTGCGACATCAGCCTTCTGTCTGCAGGAAACCTATCTGAAGAAGACAGATACTTTTTTTACTCTACGTCAGTTCGATGCATTTATATTTTTTCTCCTGCGGGTGGCAGGGCCCCTTGAGGATATTCAATCCTTCTTCAGCAGGATGTTATCCATAGTCCTGTAACACTAACCCCTAAGCTGTTGCAGTGAGACACACTCTTGCAGACTCTAACCTCCTCTATGAATTTGGTTGGTCGGTCCACAATACCATCTGTGGAACTGACCACTTTCCAACGATACAATCAGAAATATTGTATCCATATTGAACATGGTTCAGAGAATAAATAGTAAAGGTTCAAAATCTGCTGTTCTGCTGATAACCTACTGAGTGACAAAACGAAAATTGCAAATAGAAATGGCGAAACTCTTGCCAAAAATCATCATCGTCAAATTATGTCCTTGAGTTTCAGAGATTTTCAGAGGGCATTTAGAAGTTGGGGTAATAAGGGAGGGTAACAATATATGGATGAACAACCAACCCCTAAAATCAACCTCAAAGACTTCCGTGGTGTAGTGGTTAGAGCGTCCGCTCGGGTCACGGGTTCGATCCCCAACCGCGTCATGCCAAAAGACGTTAAAATATGGTACTTGTTGGTCTCTGTCTGGCGCTCGGCATCAATTGGTACAACAAGGACTGGTCGGCTCGGAGTCACTATAAAACCAGCTTCAGTCTGGGCTAGTACAAGCAGTCGCATATACATATACACACGCATGCACGTCGTCATATGAGCGAAATATTCTCAAGCACGACGTTAAACCCAAGTTCACCTCACCTCATGTCACCTCAAAGACTTTAAGTTCAGGAAGCTCAGGAAACGTCGGATGCGCCCGTGTTGGTGGAGGATGGGATTCTGGTGGTTGAGGGCAAAATGAACATGGAACCGTGCCTCTTTTTACCCAACAGACCACTTTGGCCCTGACTTCACCTGGACGGGTGGTAGAATTGGCCCGATTCAATCAATCGGCTGGTCACACCATGCCCTATGCATGGACAACATTTTAAACAATTATTGTTCATTTTTTACACTGAATGTTTGTATTTCACATTATATTATTTATTTTTGTCTAAAGTCCTATGCCAGAAGGCGGTGGTTCATCGGCTAATCTGGTGATAATGACATCCGAATGATGTTTATCACTAATTTCTTGTCTTGGGCTGAGTCGGACATGAAATAGGTAGAGAAATGCAGCTATTTGTGTCGTTTTCTCTTGAGTATAGCACCCCTGTATCCTTGGTGTCGGCATCTTGGATATCCGGTGCTATTTAACACAGTCCGTATTGATGACACTCTGTGGTGGGTAGGGAGCAAGGGTGCTGAATCCTTCCCTTTCATCATGGTACTTCCACTTTCTGGTTCATCTGGAAACCATAAAAAGAGTCGTTTAGAGGATTTAGATCTCTCTACTAGACATGTGTCTTCTAACTGTGGCTCCTGGGCTAGATTTCTTGTTATTGAGGCTTCAGACTTTCTTCCACAAAAAACTTAATCCATTTGCCATATTAAATACTATCTGCGGAACTCCGGAGAAGTTACAAATGTTACCCGTTTCAGTAATGGCTCAGTTCTTGTGGAGTGTGCACGGAGACAGCAATCTCTGAGTCTGTTGTTGATCAAGACATTTGCAAATATAGAGGTTGCTGTGTCTTTGCACAGGATGCTAAGCTCGTGGCGTCATCGGAGACAGAGCACGTTGTCTTGTCGATATGTCAGAGGAGGACATTGCTTCAGAGTTGGCAGATCAAGGTATATCAGCAGTTTAACCATTAATAAAGAGTCAATCAGCGTGACAACCAACACCTGCTTACAGACCTTTGACCGTTCCTCTCTTCCAAAGGCTTTAAAAACATGTTATTTCAACATTGGGGTGGATGTGTATGTCCCCAGCCCACTCCACTGTTATAAATGTCAACATTTCGGGCATGGATCGCAATTCTGTCGAAACTCTACAGTATGACATCGTTGTGGTGATCGACATAAGGGTTCCGACTGTGAGAGAGACTATAAGTGCTAAACTGTAATGTTGCCCATTTCGTTTCATCCAAGTCCTGTCCTTTGTATCAACGAGAATCACAATTATTGAAAATCAAATGTTTAAACAACATTTCATAGCTTGAGGCCAAAACAAATGTTGACAAATCAGACTTCAACTCCATCAAGCCTGACCTACTCTGCTGCAGTCACTCGCTCTGAAGCAGCGCCCTCGATTACAGATACACCTATTCATTTGGCTTCAGCTCTTCAGAAATCACACAATCTACGTCTGCTTCTCAAACAGAAACTCACCATGAGAAACAATCTGAAACGTCTGTTTGAAAACCATTCAAAACAGAAGAAAGGAAAGATATTAAATAGAGACAAACAACCTCCTGTCTCTTCATCTTCTGAGGTTTCAACACATTTGGACCTCTGGATATGGAGGTTACTTTGTCCTCACAGGACAGAATAATTCCTCCTAACATTCACGTGGACTCCAATTAAGCCACCATGGCTCAATTGGCTAATCTGATTCAGTGGAATTGCCGAGGACTAAAGAATAACTTCAATGAAATACAATTACTCATACAAGATCTTCAACCATCAGCATTGTGTCTACAAGAGACAGAAGAGTTTGCCCTCAATACTGATATTTTTAACTTAAGACAGTACAGTGATTATCATTCCTTTTTCCATCCAGGTGAAAAAGCTACTGGAGGCGCTTCTATTTTGGTTCATCAGCATGCCTTTTATAGCCCTGTCACTCTTAATACAAAGCTTTAAACTATTGCTGTTCGTCTGTCTCTGCACATTGCGCTGGCATTTTGCAGCTTGCATATCTTTATATTCAACAATCAGATCTTCAAAATCTGTATGATCAACTTCCGAAGCCATGTCCTATCATGGGCGATCAGGTGCCCAAACTATTACTAATGGTAAAATCCTTCGGGAATTCATTTCCGATAATAATTTATGTATTTTCAATGACGATTCAGCCACATATTTACAGCCAGCTACGGGGACATATCCTTCCCTGGATCAATCACTCGCCGATTCCAACTTATATAATAAATTTGAATGGATGGTCCATGATGACCTATGCGGGAGTGATCACTTCCCCACCATTCCCAAAACCATCAACCCTGGTGATGATCCACCTTTCTCAAGAAGGAACTTCACCAGGTCTGATTCCTGCTTGCTATTGGCTGCGCCCCTGTGTCGGTGGAGGAAGGGATTCTGGTGTTGATGGCTCGGGTTCCGGGAACAGTGGTCCTTTTCCCAATACACTACTTCAACCTTGACTTCACTTTGACGGGTATATCAATCGGCTGGTCATGCCAAGCCCTGTGCCACTATATTATGATGCACAAAGCTATATCGAAACGGTCTTCAGTCCTGGCTAAATAATATTTAACTTGGAATTTCAAATACATGCCAATTTTGTCTTTGTCTGAGACATGTGCCCAATCTGGTATGATGCTATGCTCAAATATATTAATCCTGCAACCTGCTAGTCGCCTGGAGATCCGCCGACATTGAACATCGCCAGTGTAGGCGCTCCATGATGGGCAGGGACCGGGATTGATTGAATGTATTCTCATTACCACGGCACCCACTAAAACACTCTAAATGAGCGAAAATAACACATTCAGATTCAGAAAGTGAACTTGATTCCTCCGACGATGAGTGGGTGATTAAATATTGTTTATGCCACATCAGCCATTCCCGGTGAGAAATGTCAAAAAAGATACTGAATGTTAATAATAACAATGAAAACGATGTTCATTTGTAAACATATCCGTCACATATCACATTCAAGGGTTAAAACTGAATTTGAGATATAAATCTATATTTTATTAAACAATTTGTTTTCTTTGAAACCTGGGAGCTTTTAGGACCTCTCCGGTAGACAGTCTACATGCAGAGACTAACGGACCTTCCCTTGAATAACGCCTCATTAAACCTGCACTGCAGTATATCACTAAATCACGTTCAAATCAGTCCAATCCAGCATTCAATTGTGTTTTCAACACTCTCTATGAAAACCTGTTTCCTAAACTGCCAAGCCTGGTTCCACAACATGGAATCAGAATTCAACCACACATATCTGAAGCTAAAATTGATCTCAATACCATAGCACCTTACCGACTACTGTCTTCGCCACCCTGGCAGATGGTAAAACCACAGGTCGATTTTACTCTCACTAAACTCAAAAAGTCCGAAACAAATCCTTTGGTGTTCCAGCAGGAATTCAACCAGTTACGTTCCAGGTATGACACCCATAGATCCATTTTCACAGACGGATCCAAGGATGAGGGCCAAGTTGCCAGTGCTTACAGTCCTTGGATCCAAGACTGTCTCCTCTAGGATACCTGACAACAGTTCCATTTTCACTGCCGAGGTCAAAGCTATCTTCTCAGCTTTGACCTGTATTAAACAGCAGAATCATTCCAAAAACTTCATCGTTTTAACAGATTCATTATCTTGCCTTCAAGCACTTCAAAATGTTACTTCAAGTAATCCAGTCATTCTAGACATTTTAGAACTCTACAACGACCTCTCTACTGGCCAATGTGACATCGTTCTCTGCTGATTGCCGGATCACATCGGCATAACACAAAAGCCGATGCTGCAGCAAAAGCAGCTCTTGACAAGCCCTTATCTCCACTGCTGATGCCGTACAGTGATTTCAAACCCACTATCAAAAGCTATACTCGGGACCTCATGCGAAAAAGGTGGGACACTCTAGTAGGAAGAAATAAATTGTATGAATTAAAGCCAACAATTGGTTATACCTACTTGGGTTGTCAGTGAAGACGTGATGAGGTAATTTTACCACGATGTCGTATTAGTCACAGTCGGTTTACTCATGACTATCTGCTTAAAACGGATGGGGATGGACCCCCCATGTGTGTCTCTTGCGATAAGGTTTTCACCATCAAGTATATTCTGCTTGACTGTGTGGACTTATCGTCTGCAAGGGACTCACATTTTGAAGCAACAAATCTGTGAAAGATCTGTTCTCCCGCGTGAGCGCTCATCTGTTAGAGAACTACCTGAGGGAAGTTGATCTGTATCATAAATTATAATTGTGTAATGTGACTAACAAATTGCCTGCCTTTAAATTTAGTGCTATGACTTTTTCGGCTTTTAAATGACAATGTAATGAATATATGTATTTGAAATAAAACTCATTCCTATCATGTACTTACAATGTTTATTAAAGCAGATTTGTTCTCGTCACTATACGGCTGGAATAATGCCGATGTGACGTAAAGCCCAACTCAACTCAACTCAACTGTTCCCCAGTTGATAGACCTAGAAAATTTGGTCAGTTGTTCTCTGTGATAACGGGTTGAAGTTTTAGTGATGTTCGTCGTCACTTTTAGTAGATATTTATCTTCATTTACATAGGGAACATATTTTTTTCTTCTTTAGTAGCAGCAGTATTGCTAATGCGGCTTAACCCATTTATGGATAGAGTCTTAGATTATTATCAAATTCTGTGAGCTGGTTTTGGGGTGCAAGCAATGAAAGGAATGAGGTGTCATTTTACCAGTAAATAGTTTTTTCCATACTTTTTTACACTGCAATAGTGCTTCCTAAAAATGGGACGATATGCTGATGAGTGAACTTAAATTAGGTAATTCATTAGGCTTAGGTGGGGAGATCAACCTCTTAAATCTTAAAATTGACTCTTTTCATTTGAAAGCCTTCATGGAATATAACCAAACTGGCTTTTTGTATGAAACTATGTGTATTAACAAATTGAAACCTGAACATTTCATGGGCAATTCTTGATGCCATAAAATGCTTTCTGATGAACTAACATCATGATGTTTAGTTCGTCAGAAAACATTTTATGGGATCAAGAATTGCCCATGAAATGTTCAGGTTTCAATCTGTGAATACACATAGTTTCATACAAACACCAGTTTGGTATACTCCAACACGTAGATCAGAAATTATTGGACGTGCCAGGTTTATTGCTTATTAAGGTTCGTATAAACAGACAAGTAACAGAGAGGTGATTGACAAATTGCGACACCATCAATTTAGGGACAGTAAGGTACTACTTACGCCCCTTGAAACAATTGGAAGTCCTTTTGTATTCTTTCAGTGGTGAATTTTTGATGATCAAGTCCATCCTGGAACGTTTGCGGTTCTGTGTCCCTCAGGGATTCCAGTTGTGAAATCACTTGGTTGGTCTGTGTCTCAATTTTCCTGTATATTTCATCTGATGAATCCCCCTATATATAGAATTTCAGTTTAGTGTGATGTTCTCCAGAACTCTCCAATTTTACCACCAATCGCTAGTAATTGTTGATTGTAGACATCATGGCGCCCGTTACTTATTACTGCTGCCACTTATATGAACCATTATGCTGTTTGTTGTTACTGTAAACCTAAATGGGTATTTCAAACAATTTCTTTATGGATAATTATTGATCGTGTGTCATTTTCTGGAGAATTTCTGAGTTAGTTTCTGGGCAGTGCCTTTTAGTTTGGGCATAACCTCATGAGAATATATACATTCATCAGTTGAATACCTTGGGTGAATGACTCAGTGAAAGAGACAGTGAGCTTGTACGTACCACTTTATCAAGGAGATCTTTAACCTGATCAAACGGTGACGGTGTCCTCTTCTTTCTCCTGTGTTTTTTTAACCCAGATGACAAAATGCTCTTTACTGTAGAAATGACGTGTGTAATCTCGCTTCCTGCTGACATCCAGGATGAACTTTGCCCTGCAACAATGTATCATCAGATAAGGACAAACTGTATGGATGAACAACTTCTATATTCGGATGACGCGACGTTTCGATACAGATTCTTGTATCGTTGTCAAGCAAGTATGAGTCAGTTTAAAAACACGGTGAAGACATATATATATATATAGAGAGAGAGAGAATCTCACCCTCGTGTCTACTGATATCAATTATATCAACACTCGTTGATAAAGGTAAAAATATCCTCGGCAAGCCTCGGATATTTATAACTTTATCAACTCGTGTTGATATAATTGATATCAGTAGATACGAGGGTGAGATTCTATTTATCATCAAAAATTATTCTTCATTAGTTTTCAATGGCAAATGTACATCTCTTAACACCGTACTACCATTAGACTTGTATTGCAGCGATGTCATAGCGTTGTGATGTCATCAAGTTGATGACGTCATAGCATGGTCAGGGCATTGTACAAAATCTACTGTCAAAACGATATCTCTTAGGAGATATCATATGATCTCACACAAGCGATATCTCCTGTGGAACTCAGTTTTGGATGATAAATATATACACACACAGTAAATAATTAACAAGAAGTTAATTGGGAAGTACATTAACAATGTGATGACAAGGGATTGATTTCATTGTCGGTGTTGTTTGATGTGGATGGCTTCAGTTCATTTCCGTTTGGTAAAGTCAAGTTGGTTGGTTGCCAGTATTGTGTATTCTGTCCAGTTGATTTGGTGGCTGGGGTTGGTCTGAATGTGTTCTGATTTAGCTGATTTGTTGTGGGATTTGTTTGTTGACACCTGTTGCTCTTTCACTCTGGTGTTGATTGGCCTGGATGTGTCGCCAATATATATGATGGTCCACAGTTGCAGTCAATGTTGTAAACCACACCCTTGGGATTGGATTTTCCGTTGTTGGAGTGGTCACGCCCGTTGGCCTGTAGATGGTTGTTTAGAGTTTGTGAAGTGGAGAACGTCGAGTCTATATCGGCTTGTTGCTTCAGGAGTTTGATGATCTGGTGGGGGGTCTTGTAAATATAGGGGATGGAGATTTGTATCGGTGCTGGCTCTGGTATTTTGTACCTTAGTTGATGGTGAAAGGGTTAAAATTGAGTGAGTGAGTTTAGTTTTACGCCGCACTCAGCAATATTCCAGCGGTCTGTAAATAATCGAGTCTGGACCAGAAAATCCAGTGATCAACAGCATGAGCATCGATCTGCGCAATTGGGAACCGATGACATGTGTCAACCAAGTCAGCGAGCCTGACCACCCGATCCCGTTAGTCGCCTTTTACGCCAAGCATAGTCGCCTTTTATGGCAAGCACATGGGTTGCTGAAGATCTATTCTACCCCGGCATCTTCACGGGTTAAAACAATTGTCCTGCTGACTAATTGGGGTGGATAATCATTGAGGTGAATGAACGCTTCTTTGAAATGGTTTATTTCCTCTTGATGATCAGTAGAGCAGATGTTCTTGGCTCTCATGGTGAGTGTTGATATTATACCAGACTTCACCTGTGGTGGATTGTTGGACTGGTAGTGCACATGTAGCAGGATATGATGTCAATTGAGACATATCAGATTTTATTGTTATCAGGTGAAGGTGTTTTATGTAATTATATAATTATGCAAATAAAAAGTATAAACTTCTAAACTCCAAAAATATGTTTAAAGATTTCATTGATGAAGGGTTATTTAATAAACATAGTGGTTGTTTAAAATCAGATTTACAAAACTGATAAAAGGTTTTGTTGAGGGTTTGTTAGTAAAATTCTATTTGGTTGAGGTGCATCTGAATTGTGCCCCTTTGTGGAATATTTACATCACTAAGGAAGTGAGGTGGTTCATTCTGGCCTCAATTTCATATTGTGTGTAATGTGACCAGAGATTAAGTCTCTGATTGGGTACAAGTTTTTTAGGCATATTAAATACCCTGAGTGTCCAAGCACATGGTACTTAGTATCCAGCATTGCACAGCACAGCACAGCAGCACCGTTACTTGCCACAGAAGGTTAGTTTAATTAATACTTGTTTTGTTTAATACATTAAAGTTAGAGGTTGTTATTTATATTATGCTTGAGTAAAACTTTTAAAATACTACAAATAAATTATTAGCAAATTATTTCTAGCATAACATGTAACTGTAGTGTATGCACTTGGCAATTGTGTGACATTGGCAATTGTGTGACATTGGCAAATGTTGTTTGCAGGTGCCAAAAAGGGGTAGAATTGTAAACTCCATTCCGTTCCATAGATGGGTAAGGTGTATTTTCCTCAGTACATTGTGTGACTGTTTTGAATGTTGTGTGCGTGTGTATTTGTGTAACATGACTATTTTAATTTAATTAATGCAACCAATAAAATGTTACCGTATTTGTTATATAGAATATTCTCATAGAATGATTGTTTTGCTGTCCATTGGATTCTTTGGCAAATGTTTCAGGGTGATGTTTTGTGGACTGACTACCCTACGGAAATAAAATGTCCTCCCCTATACCAGCGGCTTTGTTATTTTGAAGAGCTGGTCACATTTGGAGCCCTCAGTGAGGATCCCAATCTCCAGGAGTCGTCCACAGAGGGATTTGGGAAGTTGGCCATGTGGTAGGACTGATCTCAAGTTGTGCTTCACATTGTTTGTGATATTGAGATGCTGTGTGTTTCTTGATGCTGTGTGTTGTATTGGACACTGCTGACTAATTACTACGCAGTGATAGAGACTGGATACTAAGGTTTTATTTTGAAACCCGATTATGATTAGGTTGATTGGTGATATTGTGATTAGGGTGATTTGTGATATTTTGAATGTACTTTAAATGTATTGTGAATCCAATTTTCTTTTTATCATGGAATGAATTTTGAGATGTGATATTGTTATCTGTGATTAGGGTGAGGACATAGGTTGCAACATATTCTTAATCATGTTTTGTTGTGTGAATGTAGTAAAGTGATTGATTGGATTGTCTGTGTGTCTTGTGGTTGTTAGTGTCAGTGGGTTCTAAGATACCTTAGTAACTAAATATACTGAAGCTCAGCTGAACTATATTAAGATTTACAACTATATAATTCAGCCAATTTAAATTTCATTTGAGCACTACACCCTGCACAGCTAAGACCACTTTAGTGATTGTTTACTTTTTTACGTTTGTGGGGTCCGATGTGTTCTATTTATTTTGTACTGTGGCATAATGGTAACCTACCTTCCTAGTTAGTCAAATGGGTTTCTAGGTCATGTCAGATTCTGATTCTGAATTAGATGTCACTTAATGAACAGGATCCTGAGCAGGTAGAAGTAGACCCAGAGGTTGTTAGTTTGGGTAATACATTGAAACAACTAGGCATATGTCCAGCAATTATAGAAAAGCCTGATGACATAAGCACATGGATGGTGAACAGTCTAAAGGCTGAGGGTAAGTGGCCCGAGGTAAAACTTGAAGATGATGCCCAGAATCAGCCATCAACAGGTAAGCAAAGCACCACTGTTAGTCAGATTCCCAGGCTGTCCATTTTCTATGGAGAACTAGGTTAGGGGGAAGCAAGTTATGATCTCTGGCGTTATGAAACAGATTGTTTGATGAAGGAAAATGCTTACCCGCATCATGTAATCTCCCAAGCCATCAGACGTTCACTTAAAGGCGAAGCAGGTCGTGTGGCTATAAGGCTAGGTCCTGAAGCTGACATTCAATCTATCTTGCATAAACTACAGAGTGTATATGGCATTTGCGAGGAACGCGAGTCTCTGATAGCTTGTTCTTACAGTGATAAACAGGAAACTACTGAAACAGTGACTGCATGGGGATGTAGATTGGAAGATCTTTATGCTAAAGCTACTCGCCATTCTCAAACTTCACCTGTTGACACTAATAATGACCTTAGAAGTGTTTTCTGGCAAGGCTTGTTACCTACACTGAAGGATTTGTCTGCTCACAAATACGATTCCATTAAGGATTTTGATGAGTTGAGGGTTGCTGTCCAAAGAATTGAGTTTGACTTTGATCACAGAAAGGCTAGGTCAGATGTCCGCAAGAAACCAACTCCTGTTAAGGTAACACAGGTTAATGATTCTTCAGATATATGCAGGAACTTAAGACCATGGTGCAGTGTTTGTCAACTGAATTAGGATCATTAAAGCAACAGGTTACCCAGCATCATCAATCCTCCCATCCACATGGTGGTAATGCATCAACAGAATCTATAAATACCTAATAGCGGAGCCCTGAGGTGGATAGTCCCAAATATCAGAGTTCATCTGGACAAGCAAAGGAACCAGTATGTTGGAGATGTGGTTATCCAGGTCATTTGCAAATAGGATGAAGGGTAATTTTAGATCACTGTCGGTCTTTAAACAGAAGCGGCCCTGAGCGGAGGGGGGAAGCAGGGGCCTCTTCAGTACTAACCCCTCGAAGTCATGGTCGTCACAACCAGAAGGATTAGTTGGTGAAGCCAATAAGGTAGATGTCATACTTGCAGGGTTATCTTTTAAGGCATTGTTAGACACGGGATCCACTGTTTCAACAATTAGTGAAGAATTTTATAGGAAGAACTTAGAACATCTTCCTATTCATCAATTGATAAAGTACTGGACATAGAATGTGCTGATGGGAATCCACTTCCATACTTAGGATTTATCATAGCAGATTTTGAGGCTAAAGGTTTGGCAAGAGGTGATAAGTTACCATGTATGTTGTTGGTAGTTCCATCCAGTAGATATAATCATTCAGTTCGAGTTTTGTTTGGGACAAATGTGTTGTCAACTCTGTTGGAAAGTTGTCGGGATATGCATGTACCAAGATTTCTACAAAAAGCAAACTTGCATACACCTTGGTATTTGTCCTTCCATAGCATGGTTCTGGCTGAGAAGCAATTGGCTAGGTATAGTTACCGTTTAGGACTTATGAAAAATGCTGAGTCTCGTAACATTGTTATTCCAGCTAACTCCCAGGTAGTGATACAGGGTTATGTTGACAAAGGTTTGTGTTATCCTCAAGTTACAGCCATGACACAACCA